GTAAACTAAACGAGGGAACGAGGGTTACATACGTAACCGAGACATTCTCTTTCAGTCGGTCACTCCGAGTCACGTCGGTGACCGACTAATTGGGATCCCTAACAAAGAGCCACTATTGCTGCCCTTTCCAGTGCCCCTAGTAAGCCACCTGGTCCCCCCGCGGCAACTGGGGCGGAAGATAGGACAGAGCTTACTTGGAGAGAGTCTATTACTGTTGTTCCACTACACCAGTGTTTCCTAAACCTGTCCTGGAGGCCCCCCTGCCCTGCACCTTTTGTATGTCTCCCTTATCTAACACACCTGATTCCTCTCATCAGCCCGTTAGTAGAGACTGCAAGAACTAAATTGGGTGTGTTTGATTAGGGAGACATACAAAATGTGCAGGGCAGGGGGTCCTCCAGGACAGGTTTGGGAACCACTGCCCTAGACCCATACAGTAAGTCTTATTGGATAACACTGGGAAAGCGTACCCTTTCCAGGGATGCTGCGGAATCCATATCCTGCCCGCAGGGAGGTATCATGTGGAGATTACACATATGGACTGGGCATTAAGGGCAGTACAACATATGGAATGTCTCTGAGGTGGCTCCGCCCCAGTTAGGAGGGAGGCAACAACGGCAGGGACGGCAGAGCGGTGTCTGCAAGGTTAAGACACAGGCTCACCAAGAGGGGAACCGTACTGTGGAAGAATACACACATGGGATCACCGAGGGGATCACAACATATGGACACCTAGCCTAGCACAGGGGTCAACCAACAGGCGTACTTACAAGTCTTAGGCCTCCACACGTCCGGCTGCTGAGGGTGATGGAGGAACTCCACAAGAAGGGAATGGCGCAGCAAGCGAGACACCGAGCAGTTCCTCTGGTTTTACTGGCTACTCAAGGCGAGTACATGAGAGGACACTGGCTCTACACAAAGGCTATAAAACCCAGCCCAGCCCGCAGCTCTACACATCTGTCAGCGAGGCGCCTTGCGCCAATGCCCAGGAAGAAGCAACACTCCTTGTCGAGTGTGCTCTCAACCCGAGGGGGCAAGGCACGCCTTGGGTCTGATACGCCAAGATGATGGCATCCACTATCCAGTGGGCCAACCTCTGCTTGGGGACAGCCTTTCCCTTCTGCAGGCCTCCGTAACAGGTGAAGAGCTGCTCTGAGGTCCTAAAGCTCTGCATATGGTCAACATATATGCGTAAAGCGCGAACGGGACAGAGCAAAGCTAGGGCTGGGTCTGCCTCCTCAGAGGGCACTGCTTGCAGGTTCACCACCTGATCCCTGAAAGGCGTGGTGGGAACCTTGGGCACATAGGGCCGGGGTCTCAGGATAACGTGAGAGTTAGCTGGGCCGAATTCCAGGCACGATTGGTTGACGAAAAATGCATGCAGGTCCCCTACCCTTTTGATGGAAGCCAGCGCAGTTAAGAGCACTGTCTTTATCGACAGAGTTCTCAGCTCTGCAGACTGCAACGGCTCAAAAGGGGCCCTCTGCAATGCCGTAAGCACCAGAGGGAGATCCCAAGAGGGTACGGGGTTAAGGCGAGGAGGATTTAGTCTCCTCGCGCCCCTCAGGAACCTGATGATCAGGTCGTGCTTTCGCAAAGACTCACCGTCTACAGGATCGTGATGTGCGGCAATTGCGGCAACATATACTTTTAGGGTGGAGGGAGACAGCCTTCGCTCCAATCCCTCCTGGAGGAAGGAAAGCACAGCTCTGATCGGGTATCCCCGGGGGTCTTCCCGGTGAGAAGAGCACCATTCAACAAACAGGTTCCACTTCAAGGTATAGGCACGACTCGTAGAGGGTGCTCTTACCGAAGTGATGGTTTCTACCACCGCCTGGGGTAGATCACCTAGGATCTCCGCGTCCTGTCTAGGGACCACACGTAAGGGGGTTCCACAGATCTGGACGTGGGTGCCAGAGGGTGCCCCGTCTCTGAGAAAGTAGATTTTCCCTCAGAGGAATGCGCCAGGGAGGAGCTGTCGCAGGGAGCATTAGTTCCGGGAACCAGGTCCGGTTGGGCCAGTAAGGTGCAACTAGCAGGACCTGCTCCTCGTCCTCCCTGACTTTGCTCAACGTCTGTGCAAGTAGGCTCACTGGGGGAAACGCATACTTGCGTCGACCCTGGGGCCAGCTGTGCGCCAGTGCATCCGTGCCGAGGGTTCCCCCGGTCAGGGAATAGAACAGCTGGCAATGGGACGTGTCTGGAGAGGCAAACAGGTCTACATGGCGGGCGAGTTGCTACATACGACGGGAGCGTAGACCACCCTGGTGGTTGATGTACGCAACGGTTGCAGTGTTGTCCGTACGAACCAGTACATGCTTGCCTTGTAGCAGCATTTTGAAGCGGCCCAGCGCAAGACGTACTGTAAGCAACTCGAGGCAATTGATGTGCCAATGCAGATGGGGGCCCGTCCACAATCCCGAAACTGCATACTGCGTATGTGGCACCCCAGCCCGTAGTGGAGGCATCTGTGAACACAACAGCATGCCTGGACACCTGCACTAAGGGAACTCCTGCCCGAAGAAATGCAGGGTCCGACCACAGGCTGAAAGCTTGGCAACAGGCCGAAGTGATCGTCACTCGATACGTGCCGCGTTGCCACGGCCATCTCGGGACAAGGCCGTGAAGCCAATGTTGAAACGGCCTCATATGAAGCAATTCGAGTGGCGTTACTGCAGATGCCATATGCCCTAGGAGCCTCTGAAACAGTTTCAGTGGGGCCGCTGTCCTGCGCTTGAGAGAATTCAAGCAGTTCAGCATTGACCAAACTCGTTCCTCTGTGAGGCGTGCCGTCAGGTTGACCGAGTCCAACTCCATACCAAGAAAAGAGATCCTCTGCACTGGCACTGTTGGGCAAAGCTCTCGACTGCATCGCCGAATAGGCCAGCCTGGGAGATAAGGGAGTCAAGAAAACGATATTTCCGGTCTCCCGCATATCCGGCATGTTCAGCCAGAGATGGCGTTCCTGGACCACCAACGTGGCCATCGTCTGACCCAGGGAGTGCATAGTGACTTTCGTCACTCTCTGGGCGAGGTCCGTCACTGTGCGCAGCTCCTGCATCAGCCCCGGGTCAGAACTACCCCCGTGCAACTCTTTTAGTGCCTTAAGCCTGGTATACCTGCAGGAGTGCCATGGCGTGCAGGGCGGAGGCAACCTGTCCAGCAGCTCCGTAAGCCTTGGCCGTAAGAACGGATGAGAACAGGCCTTGGATGGGAGACGCGGGTTACCCCTCCAGGTGGAAGCGCTTCTTGGACACAATTGCATCGCAACCACGTGCTCCACCGAGGGGATCGCCGCATACCCCCTGGCCACCCCGCCATCGAGGGTAATGAGGGAGGAGGAGGCACCAGATCGGTTTCGGGCAGAAAAGGTTCCCTCCATGACCTAGTCACCTCCTCATGCACTTCCGGGAATAATGGCACTGTGATGCTGCAATCGACACCTGGCCATCCGGAGGATGGGGGGCCCAAAGAGATTTACTCGGCGAGTTTGGGCCCACTGTAGCCCTCAGGTCACCCTGTTTATTCGCCAAAGTAGCCCTCTTCTGCGGAAGAGAAGAAGAGCTAGATCGGGGCATAGATAAGGGGACTCCACTTCTCCTGAGGTATTGGAGTCTCGACCGCAACGCTGAGATGGTCATCCTCCCGTATGCTCGTGTCATGACGAGGCTCTCAGGCGAGATCCCAATTTGTCGGTCACCGACATGACTCGGAGTGACTGACTGAAAGGGAACTCAAAAATCTGCTGAAGCTGGTTGCCTTAAGCTTTTAAGTTTTCTAAACTTTTGATTTTTACAGTGCACATTCTTCAGAAGCATGGTTTGCAAATTTATTTACATGATATTTATATGACCATTCCATATTGTGAATATAGTCAGAGCTAAATGGTATGACACTGTCACGATCACTCGGGGAAGGAATGAGGAGATCCAGGAGAATACTTCTAATTCGACTTTAATCACACAAACAAAGCGATACAACCACATGTACTTCAGAATGACATTTAACAGCCGACGCTAGACACAGGGAAACACAGGGCTAAAGTAGACAAGGAAACTAATGAGGGAACACCTGGAAACAATGAACATGACATGAGGGCAAACACAGCTGGAACCAAATAAACATAATGAGGACAGGAACAGGAAACATGACCAAAAAAGGAAAAGAGGAACCAAGGCCCTGTCCACACGAACGCGGTTATTTTCAAAACCGCAGCTTTTTCTACGCAGTTTGGCCTTTCGTCCACACGTAAACGCAGCACTAGGTCACTGAAACCGAACATTTTTGAAAACTCCTGCCAGGATGAAGATTTTCAAAAACTCCGGTTGCAGTGTTATCGTGTAGACAGCGAAAACGTTTTTGGCTTGTGAGGTCAGAGCCTGCGCTGTTATCTCCGCCTACTGAAAACTTTTTCAGGCTTCTGATTGGCCAACATGGTTTTACGGTTGAGATTTTATCGCCACCTGTTGGCTTGGCATGCTCTTGACAGTGCTTCATAGCGTGCATTTGCATTTTCATGTGGATGGAAATTTTTTTTAAAACAGAAGAAGGAAAAACTCCGTTTTTAAAAATAACCGTGTACGTGTGGACATGGCCTAAGACAGGGGTAAAACAAGGAAACACAAGTCCACAACACTGACAGACACAAAGCAGGATTTTTGGAAAGGAAAATTTAAAGGAGAAAAAATAAGACTTCTTTAACTGCTTATGACATGAGTTTAAGTTTGGAGAACTTTAAGTGATTTTACTATACTGTGGTAATCACCAGCACATCACAGTTACTTAAAATGATTATTGTTATTACTGTATACTGTATTACTGTTACTGACAAAAAATATGTATTTGATATTCACATACCAGTTTCACTCAAATACCAGAATTGGGGAGAATCAATCAATCATGAATGATTTACTACCATTGTTTGAATAATATGCAATCATGTAATCCATTAACAAGTAACTGTGCTCTGATTAAAAGCATTATAAACTGTACTCATAGACTCACTCTATAGGAACAGTGTTGTGAGTCCTGTGGTCTCCTTCAGTGCAGGACAGACACACACACGTCTGATCATCTCTGCAGAACAGCTCCAGAGGTCTCTCGTGTTTCTGGCATATATAATCCTCCAGATTTTCCACAGCGTTGATCAGTGTGTGTTTCTTTAGACGTGGGACTCTGTGATGAGGCTCCAGGTGAGTCTCACAGTAAGAGCTTTGACACGTCAGGCAGGACTTCATGGCTTTCTGCTTTCTTTCATCACAGAAGTCACAGAACACCTCAGATTTGCCTTGATTGAGCTTCTTAAAGTATTGTACAACCTTTGTGAGTGTTGTGTTAATTTCAAGATCAGGTCTATTGCTAAGTGTTTTATTACAGAGTGGACAGAAGCAGGTCTGTGTGTTTGTCCAGCACTTGTTCAGGCAGGTTCTGCAGAAGTTGTGTCCACATGGAGTGGTGACTGGATCAGTGAACACATCCAGACAGATGGAGCACTGGAGCTCCTCATTTAGTGGACCACTGGAGGATGCCATGCCTGAACAGATAAATTATGACAATATATCATCTACATTTCTCTATAATTCCAGCAAGTCTACTATTTTTATGCACAGGGTAAAAGTTTTGTTTAGCATGGTCCACGTAGCCCCTGCTGGTTGATGCCGTAATTACACTATTCTATGCCCAAGAAGTATAAATCTGTCATTCACAAGTAGCCATGTTTACTGACAGAATATAGACATGGTGCTCATGAACAAAGATGACAACATGTAGCTTGTGTATTTATAGGTTTCATGCACAAGCCAAGCAACTGCCATGGAGATGAACGGGAATGCAACAGATAGATTTGTATCAGGTATTATAGACTTCCTTATCTTTTTATAATAACTTGAAAGTCTAAACGAGATTGTAAGGACTACAAAGTACAATGTTTTCCCTGCAAACTGTATTCTGTTTTGTTATGAGTAGGCACAAATTCCTTAAAATAATATTTAAATATAGTAACTAAGTACTCTTGCATCAGTTATTCAAAATCTTTAACTGCTAGGTTACTCCACCACAGGAAGAGCAGCACATCAAATGGTTATTAACAGCAAACGCCTCAAAAAGTTGTCAAGAATCTTTTTTTTTTTTTTTTTAATAAATGATGTAACCCAACAAATAAAGATCCTCTAAACATCAGGGGCCTCATGTATAAAACTTTACGTAGATTTCATCCTAAAAGTGTACTTACGCACAAAAGCTAGATTTTGCGAACGCACAAAAGTTTTCAGATTTATGAAACCATGCATACACCAGAACCTGCGCAAAAATCCCTTTATAAATCCCAGTGAGGGGAAGATTGTGCGTACCCTGTCTCCTCCCCGAAATAACCATATGGAGCTTACAACGCCTAGTTTTACGATGCATAACCTCAACCTCATTTGCATATAATTTCCATGCATACTCCCATCCACGTGACACCATATTTAACACCGTCGAAGGCACAAGACTTTAAGGAAATATGAGTCCATTTGTGCCACATTAATGTTTATTGCCAAAATCATCCAGTATGTTTTAGAATAAATATATCAAAATATCCATAAAAACAAATCTGTTTAATTCTCAGATAAATATCCTATTTTAGAATATAGTTGACCTCATTCTTTTCCACTGGCCAAATAGTATTTCAAATGCAGTTTTTCTGAAAAGGCTTCTTTTAGCTATTTTTAGTGGAAACAGATATTGCAGTCTGATTTGGGGCGTCACTGACAAAGTATTTTAAAAAGGAAACATGCAACTCTTACAATTTTTTCAAGCTGTATGCTTCAAATACAGTGGTATTGTTCATAATGTTGTGAAGATGCCTTGACACGCCATCAACACCTCCATGCAGCTGCGGTTGTACAGTAAGCTATTACACTCTTAAAAATAAAGGTGCTTCACGATGCCATAGAAGAACCTTTTTGTCTAAATGGTTCAATAAAGAACCTTTAACATCTGAAGAACCTTTCTGTTTCACAAAAGGTTCTTTGTGGCGAAAGAAGGTTCTTCAGATTATAAAAAGGTAAGAAAGAGATGGTTCTTTAAAGAACCTTTGACTAAATGGTTCTTTGTGGAACCAAAAAGGGTTCTTCTATGGCATCGCTTGAAGAACCTTTTGAAGCACCTTTATTTTTAAGAGTGTAGGCTATCATTGGACTTATTCAAACCGGACAATGGACCGTTCGACCACCGAATCCAGCAGTGTCCCCCTTAATATCGAAGTAAGTGTTCATCATTGATTATTGTTCTTTATAAAAAATTTAAAAAAATCTCATAACATGAGATCAATCCAGCAGTGTCTGCCATAATATCGAAGTAAGTGCGCATCATTGATCATTGATCTCGCTAAAAAAATTTCTCATAACATGAGATCTGCAGTTTAGTTTAAATATGAATTATTATAGCACTCCTCGCTGTCATTAAAACATAGCATGCCAAAGGAAAAGTGATCAAGTGCATCCACTACAAATGTTTAAATTCATATAATTTTGGTTTAACTTCAGTTAATGTAGGCTAATTGCAGTGCTTATCTCCATTAATGAGTGTGGAATATTTAATGTAAATGTGTATATCGAAATAAAAACAGTTTAAAATCCTTGTTTACTTCATTACTTTTCAAACTCCAGGAAAAAGCACAGTCAAGATCATCCGTATGGTGCGCACATATTTACGCCAAGTTTATTTTTTATAAATCCAGATACGTGCGTACACACATGGTGAGCGTGATTTGACCAAGTACAACATGTTCCTGGATCAACATCCTTGTCATCATTCCAATCAACCAAGCACAGTTGAGAGATAACTTGTCAGGAAATGTCAGTTTTAGGTTTACAATCGGGATTAGGATTGTTAATCAGCTATCATTTCCCAGTGATTTTAGGAATAAATTATGGGTAAGGTTAGGTTTAGGGTTTCTGCAGACATGAACAAGTTAAATTTAAGACTTTTTAATACCACCTTATATGAAATTTAAGACCTAAACCTGTAATGGAAATACACATTTTATTACATACATATGTAATATCTAATGTGTAAAAATTTAAAAGAAAACAAAATATCATTGCTGTAATAAATGATATTGATTACTGCGATATACAGTGAACTTTTCATGTCAGCAGACAATATTCCATACAAAATATCCCTGCAAAATAACTGCATCACTGAGATTTTTGGTGGAGTAAACAATTTATTCTGAAGCAATATTTTCATCAGTGTTCTATCAGCTTTTACATACTTAAATCTGCATATTTACCCTTACAAAGGCCTATTTTTAACCTTTTTAAATGTATGCATCATCTTACATGTCAAATGATTACAATTTATCAATAAATTCAATATACACTATAGGGCTGCTACCAGTCAGATTAAATAATTTACACTGCAAATAACAATAATTACAACTGCAGTAAATAATGTTATGAGATTAATGTTTTAAATGCATTTATGAGTATACAAATAAGAAATGTTAAGGGGAAAAATTTATACTTTTCAAAATACTTCAACTAAACTACCAGTAAGTGACGGTAAGTCACTTAATGAGTGACTCATCGAGTCATTCTGTCACAGTACAGAAGGAGACCAAAGACGGAGAGGTAAAGTACAAAGGGATCTTTATTAACAGGTGCTGAGAGAGAGAGATGGAGAGCAAATGGGTTAGAACAGTCTATGGAATGGCAGGGATCTAGCTCACGTGATGACGGGTTCCTTCTAGGATCGGGCTGAAGAGGATGGCACAGAGACAGGTAGGTTTCAGGATGGCGTCTGGGTTAGTGAGTCAGGTAAGGAGTAGCGTAGTGAACTCAAGACCAGACGAAGTGTGACTGCAGTGACTGGGTATTTGAGCTAGTGCTGATGAAGTGGTGACAGGTGCGGCTGATTAGTACTCCGGTGATTGTGAACAGGTGTGTGAGGTGATTGGGCCTGACGAGGCTGGACTATCCCTGACACATTCATTCAACTGATTGAGTGTGTTATCATGCTGGTATCTTAAGGACTTTCGTGGACAGCTGACTCCTAAAGTTTTTCATATTCTTCATATTCTGTGTGGTGATCAGTTCATACTGATAGAAATTAATCTTTTCCAATAAGTTTAAACTGATTTTTGCATTTTATGGGCATTTTTACCTTTATAAAGCCATTTTTTCTAAAAGTGACGGTTGATTCATTCAGGAACGAAACACCGTCATGTTGCTCAGAGACGCAAAACAGCGCTGTGGCTTTGTTTGGAATTATTTTTGTTGGCGAAATAGCGCAAAAACAGGCAATATGGTGTCTAAAACGTAAGTCTCTTAATAAAACTTCTAGTTTATTGAACCGATGTAAAAAATCAATATCACATTTGTATATGGTAATTTTTGGAGAAAAAAAAGGCACTCTTCTGTGTGAACTTGATTAACTATATGAAGTGGTATAAATATACACATTTTCTGCCCACGTGTCCTGTATTTGTGATCATTCTGAATGTATTTTAATAGACTGAATCATGCAGTGAAAGAGCGCACTGTAAATGCGCACGCGCACTAAACTTCACTTAGTGTGTGCACTCTGTAGGTGTTTTCAATGTTTTTTTTGCGTCGTGAGAATATTGAGAAAAATAGTTCACTTGTCATGGTGTTATTTAACTATATCATATTATGAATAAACTAAACATTTTGAATTTTTACCTCAGTGTGTTTCTTCTGAGTTTATGTGTGCTGTCAAGCTCATTTGTTCTGAAGTCTCGAGACAAACAGAGTGAGCCTCAGCGCGAGCTTGTATTCTAATTGTTCTCTCTGATGACGCAGTAACTTACCGCGGGTCGGTCTGTCCAATGATTGTAAAGTCATTAGGTCCGTCAGACTGAAGATATTTTAGCGGTAATGAGACCAAAAATATTTAAGACCCATCGAATCCGAATTTAAGACATGTTAAGACTTTTTAAGGCCTTATAGGAACACGTTATTTAAGACATTTTAAGACTTTTTAAGGACCCGCGGACATTGGGTTAAGTCTGTATTTTTGGACAGTAATGTTGATCCAGGATCAATAAAAGATGTTGATCCAGGAACATGTCTTACTTGGCAAAATCACGGCGACCTACGCTCATTTCTATGTCCATTTTTTGCGTACGCAAGGTTTATACATGAGGCCCCGATGTGATTTTCATTTTATAAAGCAGTTTTCACAGACTTTGGTTATTTTGTCTGTAGCTCAAGTAGCCTACTTCCTGTTTCTGAAGTCTCTAAAGTTTGACAACAGTTCACAACAAACAAACTTTTAATGATTTTAAATACTGCTTCTGGTAATATTGCTTCATGGTATTTACTGAACTAATTCTTACACTTTCTTCACTTACCTGGGAGTTTATATCAGATGTAATCAATAGTTTGTGTTCAGATAAAATGGTTGTTGTTGCTGTTGAAGAAGCTTCCAGCACATCTGTTTTTTTTTAGTTTCACATTCACTTCAGAACATAATTGTGACGTCACTTCCTGTTTGTTGCTGCCGCGTGTTTTGAGTTTGAGCTTTGTCATGTTAATTCTTTATCGTCTATTTTTTATCTTAAAATCAATTTTATACACAATCATTTTCGTTTCTATAACGTGTGAATATATCCCCTATCGTATTCTACAACAAAAACAATCAGAGCATCTTGTTATCAGTTTATTCTGATTTCCCGAGTCCGCTATTAGCATTGTAGGAAAGTATTTTCTTTTAGTTTCACTTTAATATTTTACCACTAGAGGGCGCATATCCTTCATCTTACTGATACCTATACACTTTCCCTTTAAGACACTGCGCTTTATACACCACAAGCGCTGGGTCACAGTGAGCCTCCGAACTTTAAAGTTGTGTGCGTTCATGCAGAAAATTCAGTTTATTTTGCATTCTCTAGCAGAAACATGCATGTCAATAATGTTGATGTTATTGTGATGATGTTGTTAATCTTGTAAATGCATATTTGCACAGTATTATGTTATTCGTTAATCTACGTTAGGAAGCTAACATGCTAGTTTCACGTGCAATAGTGCATTGTTATTTAATATAAATCTTGATCTTTTAACCATTTTAAGACAGTTTGAGATGCTACACTATCATAATTGTGAATTTGCAAGAGAATTTCAGACCATTGATGATTATCTGTTTATGTTCAGAATGCAAATGTTTTAACATCTGTACTAAGTTAATAAAAAGGCTGTAATATTTTATATCTAATTTACACAATTTTCCTCTATTTCAGACCACACACACATACACACCCCAAATACCCCAATGCTTTTGCCTGTATACATTTATGCTCACCAAAAGTGGCCTGTATAAACCCAACTCGTTAAAGCTTTCTTGGATGTGACTCTCTGGGCCCTTTACTCTCTTACCGGAGTCGCCAGTTTTCAAAGGTCTATCAGAACAATCCAGAGGTTCCACCTCTACAAGCATATAGCCCGTTAGCATCGCCAGCGTGGTTGCCGCTAATCTCGCTTACATTGCTAATACTCTATTCACACACATTACCATTGTTTTACTCACTGTTACTTGCTTTAATAGCGGATATGTGTCTACCTTTGAGTGCAGGTGAGGACACGTTCGAGGTGCATTCCGTGCAGCTCGAGCTGGAGGCCGTGGAGAAGCAGGCCCAGCTGAGAGAGCGGAGAGCCGCGCTTGAAACATCCCGGGCTGACACTCACAAGTCCGGGGTAAGCATACAGCGCGCTGCTAACTCTCCCACCACCTCTACTCCGTGGGTTTCTCTGCACAGGCCCGGTGCACCGGAAGACACGAGCCAGGCCCCGGGCGATGACCTCTCCCCCTCCGCCTCCTCCGGTCTTCGAGATCTCCACCTAGAACCGCTTCGCTCCCCTCCGCGAGACGGAATGCGACGCTGTGATCGTCGGAGACTCCATCGTCTGGCACGTCCGTGCTACAATAGCTGAAGGTAATGTAGGGTCCATGTAAACGCAGCTACTGAGTGAGATCAGATGGTAAACTGTCAAATTAGAGATGTCTTCGAGGGGGGGCAATCCGAGCCGGACGATTTGGTCAGTCGCACTTTTAAACACATTTCAGTTTTGCTATAGAAAATCTACAAATTCATACTCTGATTACATTGAGCAGCAGCAGGAAGCGCGTGAGGTTGTCATGGCAACCAGATACACTGCACGTGAATTATTTAATTATTTTGCCACCGTTTGCCACACTAAACGTAGCAATAAACACGTTGAAAATAATACACAATAAACATGTCTGTCAAAACGATCTCAAAGGAGGCTTTTATTAAGCAAATCAAGGAGTGAATTTCTCATCCTCTGTTTTTAAAACAGACATTTGTAGGCCTTGATTCAAGTTAATGCACAATGAGGCGAACACTTTTTATTTAGTCTTATTGAATAGACAGTTTATATTCTAAAATCTATTTAAAGGTTGTGTTCTGTGAAAATTAAATAACATTTGGATGTAAATGGTCGGCATAAAAGTAGTGTGCGGCTAAACCTGCTGCGTCCTGTGGATCACCTTTATCTGATTGTCAGAGTCCGGAATCATTAAGCACGGCATTAATATCTTCATCAGAGTTTTTCGTTGTCTCCAGATTTCTCTGCAGTTCGTGTATGTTGTTAAAAACGCAGAACATCATTTTATTCCACACAACAGGCAAGCATTATCGTTAAGTCTAGTAATAGAAATTATAAATGTATCTACCAAAGAGTTACAAATAAAACAAAATTACGGCTTATTTCTGCATTTCCAGCAAAATGATCTCCCATTCACTGCATGGATTCATCCCGTCCTACGTAACCTAGAGTCACTGAGTGAGATTAGATGGTAAACTGTCAAATTAGAGATGTCTTCGAATTCGAGGGGGGCAAACTGAGCAGGACGATTTGGTCAGTCGCACATTTTAGTTTTGCTATAGAAAATCTACAAATTCACACATTCTGATTACATAGAGCAGCAGCAGGAAGCACGTGAGGTTGTCATGGCAACCAGATACACTGCACGTGAATTATTTAATTATTTTGCCACCGTTTGCCACACTAAACGTAGCAATAAACACGTTGAAAATAATACACAATAAACATGTCTGTCAAAACGATCTCAAAGGAGGCTTTTATTAGCAAATCAAGCAGTGAATTACTCATCCACTGTTTAAAAAAAAAAAAACTTTAGCAGGGTTTCCACAGGCAGGATCACAATTATCTACAGTGTATGAAGCTAAAGGTTTTTGGGTTAAGGTTCATAATGTAGAACACTTTTAACATTGTATGCTGTATGTGCAGCTAGCAAACAAGGAATACAGCTGTTAAGCTAATAGTCACATTTATGTATGTGCATAGGTAGCTAGCAAACAAGGAATACAGCTGTTAAGCTAATAGTCACATTTAGCTGAGTAAGATCATGATTGAGAAATGTTGGATACTGCTGGAAATGCTGCTGTTATGGGGCATCCTATTTATTATTTTAGGATTTCTTTTGTTTGCCCCAGTGAAGCATTTCTATTAATATAACTGGGGTATCCTATTTTATTTTATTTTATTTTATTTTGTTTGCCCCAGTGAAGCATTTCTGTTAATATAACTGATTAAGTAGTCAAACTCATTCCTTATCAGCAGAATAGTGTGGTACAGAAAGTCTATGTCCATAAAACAGGTTCTGAATGAATTATGTTACTGATACCTAATGGTCAAAAGCAATAGCAAAAGTAATAGGTCAATATTATTAAATTGCAGACAAAGATTTTAAATAGCTAGGTTGGCTTGTACACTATATTGCCAAAAGTATTGGGACACCCCCTTCTAATGAACAGGTTTGACTACTTTAGTATTTCTAATTTTTAGCAAAAAAAAAAAAAGCATATAATGCTATTCTATGGAATTGTGTGCTTCTAATTTTATACCAATAGTTTGAACAGGACCATTTTCTATTCTAACACAACAATTCCTCTGTGTATAAGGCAAGGTAAAAACATTTTTTTTTTAAATGATTGATTCAGTCAGTGTGGAAGAACTTGACTGGTCTGCATAAAGCCAAGTCCTAATCCTAGCTGAACACCTCTGCTGTGACTTTAAATGCAGACCTTGAGCCAAAAACTCATCACCAAACACCTGTGACTTGTACATACATATGGACAAATGTATTGGGACACCCCCTTCTTTAGGACAGAAAAATGCACTTCCAGAACTGTGTCATCAAAGATGGAAACATAATTCATGTATTTAAAAAATTGTATTTCCATATTTGTTGCCACAGTTTTGGAAGAGTCTAAAATGATTGTACGCATATGTACAAGTCATTGGTGTTTGGCGATGATTTTTTTGTTTTTGTTTTATTGAGTTTTCCCAATACTTTGGGCAATATAGTGTATGTTTGGTGCGGTAGGGGGCCCAACCTCATATTCTTTCATAGGGCCCAAAATTGCTAGCGGCGCCCCTGGGTGAAATTATAAGTGGCTTTGAGTTTTTACCTTTATCATTTAGGCCTGGGCCAAAATATGGATAGAGTTTCTCAGTGAAAGTCTGAAAAGTGAAAGAGTAGATATGAGAGCTGGAGCCCACATCATAAAAAGAGACCAGACCCTTCTCATAATCCACAAACACTCCCACAATCTCAGGTGTCGTTCTGTGAGAGAAAGCGACTGCTGGATTATCACAAGCTATATACTGCCTCTGATTAATCAATACCATAGACCAGAGTCCATCCTCAGGACTCGGACTAATGTCCCCCTTCCTGTTAATGGATTCTCTGGCCACTCCTAAACTCCACCCAGTCTTTCTCTTCACCTGCACCTCATAGTAAAATCTGCCTGAACTGAATCCCCCATGACTGACTTGTTTTCCATCATCAGTCAGGATGAGATATGGATTCGCTGTAACAGGATCCAGAGTCACATCCACTAGATGAGAGATCAGACATTATCAATTAACTTCAGATCAAACATTTTCATATGTTTGTAAAGCAGATTATAAATTATTTGAAGTGTATTGGAGAAAATGGTGTCAGTCACACTGTACCTGCATACTTCTGAGCCCATCCCAACCCTGTGAACACAGATGACAATATAAGTGTGATGAATTGTATATAGGAATATTTCAGATAAATATATATTTTTATTTTATTTATTACTAAAATTATATCTCTTTTCACCGTAAAAATCAAACCTATAGAATCTACTCAATAACATTATGGCAACAATATGCACTGAATTTGTTTAGATAGATTAACTGAATAAATACTAACTTAGTTTAACGGCTGTAACACATGAAGAAATTTGGTAAAGCCTACCTAACATTTGTCAATGCATTACACAACTAAGTGTTTACAAAAAGCAAATAATATACATTAAAACACTAACATTAAATAATATACATTAATAATATACCTAATATACAGATAATATACAAATAATTAACATTAAAACACTTGTTATTGTTAACGTACACTTAAAATAACTAACATGTTTAATCAACTAGGAAGAAATTTGTCAGTGCACTGATTTTCAGGGCCGTAGCTGGTGTTTGTGGGGCCCCAGTGCAGTTTGCATCCGTTGGCTTTGTTTGAAATTGTGTAAATAGCACAAATAAATAAATAGAACAAAGATGCAAATTAAACAATGTTTAAGTTTTTTCAAGTTTGTAGGTGTCCATGTACAGAAACTGAATAATCAAATGTAAAATAGCATTGCATAGTCTTCACTGTATAACATAAATATAGATTAATTCTTGTTAAATCTACAAAGTAATTCAGTAAAGAGCTATGAGGGATTTTCTCCCATTTAATTTCTTGGATTAACATTAAGGACACTGACAGCAGCTAGTAAACTAGGCGCGGTCACTTTAAGAGACTATCATGATACACATTCGATTTCTTTCCCAACTGTTTACTTTCACTTAAAGGAGTCATATGACGTTGCTAAAAAAGAATATTATTTTGTCATTAAAACCCATTATAAACGAGGCATTCGTTGCATCCAGTGGGGACATAATTACTCATTATAATGACTTATACTGTCTTTTTTCGCTTTCGCAACGAAACACACAGCGTCTCCACGACATGGCGGCAGCAACAATACTACAGCGAGAATAAAAGTTACGCCTTCTTTCTTTACGTAAACATTTGGGCGGCGTTATGCAAATCTTCCCACACAGTGACGTAGATATGTAGGGCGTGTTTAAACGAGGCGTTTTAGGAGTCTTAGCTTTTAAATAGAATATCTCTTTGGGTTTGAGACTTTACTCTTTGCAACTTCAGGGATCTTATCTATGCACAATCAGCTTGTAACACTCCAAAGAGAAAGGAAAACTTGAAATTGCATCATATGACCCCTTTAAGTCATAACCGACAGTTTTTTTCGAGGATACTCCCAAAGACAGGTATTGTGACATAGGAGCACTGTAATTCTACACTGTATCTGATTCACATACCTGATTTACTGAGTTTTTTATTTAGAGCCTTGTGTGTTTTCTTCAGATGAGTCAGAGCTCTATGCAGAGGGAGCACATTCACATCAGTATCAATACTGATCTCAGTCCAGTTCTTGATGTGTGGACGACTGTATAGGGATGAGTACATCTACAGCAGGAGAGAGAAGACTATTAAATTTTTTTTTTTTCTATTTTTAATTATGTTAATTAAATATGTTTCATTCATTCATTCAAAATGTTTTTATGTTTGAGAGCTTTCTACTACAATTAAGGCAAGACACCCCAGGTGATTAGGGTATCCAAAGTATGGATATCAGCTTTGGGGTCCCCCAAAGAACTGCAAATATCATCTGTATTACAAGTTTTCTGAAATATTTAAATATGCAAATGATGCATTGTCTAAATAAATATACACTAAATTGCATTAATAATCCAGAACAGAAATCTGAGGACAATGGATAAAGCTAGCTTCCAAATTCTTGTTTTATATTATTGACATGTTAGAGTTAAAGGATTTTACAAATGAGATTTTGGTTTTCCATTTTAATCATTCCATAAATATTGTCAACAGCCAGAAGAAAATACCTTTTCACCATGCTTTTATGAATAAAATGTCATTTAAAATCAGGTATATGGACAAACCTTCTCTAAAACTCTTCAGAATATAGATAGAAACAAAACTAACAAAAGTAATAAACAAAATTACTAAAACAATTAAAATTAAAACAAAAAATATAAACTAATTTAAAATATTATTAAACTATAATAGTATCTGAATGATACTAAAATAAAACTGCTCAGTGCAGAAGAAAAAAAAATCACAGCCTTCAAACGTATTGTAAAGGAAACAAAATTCTACAGCTGCAAATAGATATATTGCATTGAATAAACATAAAAGTGTTTTACAATGTTTTTGTCTGTAGCATCTTACCTTAACTCATTTAGCTAATGTGATTTTATGGCTTCTTTCAATTCTGTATGATTTTTAAAGCTTAGAACCTACAGTAAAGTTAGATCTTTATCTTACCATGTAGCTTACAGCAGCTCATCAGGTTTGTCAGCAGAGCATTTGAACAATAATATTCTGAATTCTCAGTGATGAGACAGATATTGACAGACCTGTAGGAGGTGCAGATGATCGTCAGTGTGTGAGAGCTGCTCCAGCTCAGAGTTTCTCTTCTTCAGATCAGTGATTTCCTGCTGCAGCTCTTTAATGAGATCTTCAGCCTGTTTCTCTGCTGCTTTCTGCTGTTCCTCCATCTTCTTCAGCAGCTCAGACTGACATCTCTCAATGGAGCGGATCAGATCAGTGAAGAGCTGATTTCTGGCTGATTTCTCTTCCTCTGTGTTCCTCTGATCAATGAGAACAGTTATCAGGATGTTATGTGTTTACATGTACTATATATTTAAAGGGTGCACTCAAAAATGAAAATGTTCTCATCATCTGTAGACCATGTGTTATGTGACGTGTTTTATCTATTTAATTCAGAACCTTAATTAATCAGATTGACATACACTGCCCCAAAAAATGAAGGGAACACTTAATCATCACAGTATATCATCAATTTAACTTCAGGGATATTAATCGCTCCAGTTAGGAAGTATAAAGTGATTGTGAATCAGTTTCCAGAATCCTGCTTAGGTGCAGATGAAAGTGACAACAGGTGCACTGGAGAGGCAACAGCAAGACAACCCCCAAAAAGGGAATGGTTTTGCAGGTGATGGCCACAGACATTTGCTCTCTTCTTATTGTTCCTGACTGATTTGTCTCTAGTCTTGTGTTTTGTTAAGGTCCTTCTTACTACCTGTAGCCAGAGGCAGTACCTGCACCCTCAGGTTCAGAGTATGTGAGCGGAGCGGCATTATTTTTGACTGGAGCAAGGAGTGGATTTTTTGCTCAGAGAGCGCTCCACTAGCACTCATCACGTGCACAATTAAAGGGTTAGTTCACCCAAAAATGAGAATTCAGTCATTAATTACTCACCCTCATGTTGTTCCAAACCCGTAAGACCTTCATTCATCTTCGGAAAAAATAAATTAAGATATTTTTGATGAAATCTGAGAGCTCTATGACCCTGCAGACAGCAACGCAACTGCAATGTTTCCAGTGCCAGAGACGTAGCAAGGACATTGATGAAATAGTCCATGTGATGTCAGGGTTTCAACCATAATGTTATGAAGCTATGAGAATACTTTCTGTGCACAAAGAAAACAAAAATAACGACTTTATTCAACAATTCTTCTCCTCCTCAGCCTGTCTGCAGCGGTGCGCTGCCATTGTGGAGAGAGTATCACGACGCATGCGCTTGCTTCCGGTTCATGTAAACAATGCTTGTACGTTTCTGGACCTGGGAACATTTCAGTAATGTTGCTGTCTATGCATGGTCAGAGAGCTCTCAGATTTCATCAAAAATATCTTATATCTGGAGACGAACAAAGGTCTTGTGGTTTTGGAACAACACGAGGGTGAGTAATTAATGACTGAATTGTAATTTTTGGGTGAACTAACCCTTTAATGCCAGCAGCCTATAATATAACTGCTTTTTATCAAGAATTCACGCATTAAGCATCATTGGTTAGCTTGACAGATATGTGGATCACTCAAATCAGAAAGAAGGTTGTAAATTGTACAGTTTGTTAATCTCCGCTCGAAACTAATGTGCTGCTACATTGCTGCACAAGGACAGAACACACAAGATCACACATAACGTACAGTCCGCCTGCATACATTCAGGAATTAAGAAAATTTGGTCAACGCTGTCCTGTGATTTATCAGCTTAAAAACTGAAAAGTTACAGCATATTCTTTCTGTTTCTAAAGTAACTATTCGTCATAGTAGAGACGCTGCACAGACAAGTGAGTTAAACAGTCATTTAATATAGACTTGGGCTAATTGTAATGTTCCAATAAACCACGTTAACACTATTCTTCAGTATTATGTCTTTATTTATCATTTAATATAAATTCTCAACAGAACTTTGTGATATTTTAAAACATACTGAAATACTTTAGCTGCAAATTTTGTCATGGAGCGAAGGCGGAGCGGCGTTTCTGATCAGTTGAGCGAGGAGTGGAGCGAGGAGCGGGAAATGGTGAACCCGGAGCGGAGCTGATGGTTGATGGAGGTTGCATAGACCTCCATGTGCTAGCTAATGCTGTCAGAGCTTACGCTGGTTCAATGGGCTCAGGGTTCCTCCTGCTGCATGACAATGCTTGGCCTCATGTGGCCAGGGTGTGTAGGCCAGGGCTGCCCAAACTCGGTCCTGGAGGGCCGGTGTCCTGCAGAGTTTAGCTCCAACTTGCCTCAACACACCTGCCTTCAAGTTTCTAGTATGCCTAGTAAGAGCTTGATTAGCTGGTTCAGGTGTGTTTAATTGGGGTTGGAGCTAAACTCTTCAGGACACCGGCCCTCCAGGACCGAGTTTGGGCACCCCTGGTGTAGGCAGTTTATGGATGATGAAAGCATTGATGCCATTGACTGGCCCTCGCATTCCCCAGACCTGCCAGTTGAGGACCTCTGGGACATTATGTACCAGAGCATCTGAAGCAGCCATGTCAACTAGATGTGCCCCAGAGATAGATCCCCTCCGAAGACCTCGTCACCTAGACGGCCATCGGGACAAGGCCACGGGAACCAGATGAGTCCTCTGCACAATCTGACTTTGTTGCAGCCTAGAATTAATGGTTTCGTCTGGCCATAGGAGAACGGCACATTATTTTGTCACACTATTTTCCCTGTTTAATAATTTAAAGCTGCTTTGACACAATCTGCATTGTAAAAAATCACTATATAAATAATAGTGACTTGACTTGATGCCCTGATCTAGGTCTGGCAGGAGATACCCCAGTACATCATCTTCCATCTCATTAGGATAATATCTAGACCAGTGGTCACCAATGTGGTGCCCGTAGGCACCTGGTAGCCCGCATGGAGTCTCTTGAGTCGCCCGCCAAGCACGTTCTATAAATAGCCTAAATTAGCGCCGGGCGATAAATGATATCATATCGAGATTATAATAAAATGTATGTTAATGATGATGATGAGCTCTGGACATTTTTACTCAATATGGATTAATCTAACATCCTATCACACAACAGAAATAAATGTTACAGCAACCAGTCAGTGCATGTCGCTAATAAGTCTGCATGTTCTGTGTGTCTGTGTGAATGCGTGGAGTAGCTTCATCTGATACACAAACTCAAACACGCGTGACTCGCAGTGTTTTCAGCATCTGCGTCTCAATATATGAGGACATGAACACATGCACTTCATCTGCAAAGCTGCTCTGAGAGTCACCACCAGCTTGATGCCGTTTCATTTGAGAAAAAGTACTGTCAAATACACGCTGAAACTGAAAGACCTTCACGACAAACCGTCAAAATAAAAGTCCGGTTTAACTTGAAATTATGACTGAATATATTACTACTGTATAGTACAATGCAATTCTCAAAGTAATAATAAAAATATTATTATTTTGAAGGAATGTCATACAACTAAGTTTTTTTATTATTATTAATTTATACAGTTCTGTTGTGCAGCATCATGTCTGATAAAATAAAATAAAAAAATATAAAAATGCAATGTTTTTCAATTGATTTTCATTTGATTACATTTTAAAGGAGTAATTAAATTGTTAAAGTTTTATTAATTTATTTCACTAGACACCATTTTTATGATAAATTTGTACTTAATCATAAAACACAGAATCCATAAGAAATCAAATGGAAAACACAGAATTTAGGGAAAAAATAAAATGCATTTCACGGGGCCCTAAATTAAAACGTAGCTCCTCTGTGGAATTTAATTATGAAAAAAAAGTTATGTTTACCTTCATTCTCAACGTCTAACAAACATGTGGAAAGCATTTCCTTCCCCATTAATGGTAAATGAATATCATGATAAATATCAATATTGTATGATAGCCTATTTTTATAAATTTATCTGGAATATTTTCCTGGATTGAAAAAAAAAAATAAAATGCTTGTGAGAAATCATTCATGTTTATTAATGGCAAGATATTAAGCGCGAAATAAACTACGTGCATGCAATGTCGTGGTCAGTTAAGTGATGAAGTTACCAAAAAGACGATTAAAGCTGCCTTACAACTGTGCATGCATGTAATATATTTTATATGAGTCACATTTAAGAACATGTCTCTGAAATGGAT